TGTGTGTGTGTGTGTGTGTGTGTGTGTGTGTGTGTGTGTACGTGTGTGAGGAGAGGTGAGCTTTGAAAAACAGGAAACTTTAATTATTGCAGTCAATGTAGAATTAGTCAGTTTCTGAATGATACATACTGTATTAGAATGAAGAAAGCTAGTTGATTCAGCTACAAGCTTGGTATAAATAGGGTTTTATGATAAGCAACTGCTTTTGAGTTGTGAATTATTCTTTTTGAATATTATATGAATATTTTTGCATATCAAAAGGCAGATTATCATATTGTTATTTAAAAATCTGCAAATATTCAGTCATACATTGCACTGTAAACTGCTGCAATAGTGGGAATCTGTCTTCATAGCAGTCGGCCATTAGAAGGTATTTCTCAATCTGCTGAGGTGTGTAATTGCTACAGTAATTGCATTTATGCCACTTGTTTGTGCATATACAATCAGGAGGTTCTACTCTAGTTGGAACCAAGCCAACGGTTAATTTAGAAAGATATTTCATGATAACTCGACTTTACAACTTCTGTGCCTCGTGCCACTTTATATTTCTCTGCCAATGAGATAGCTCTGTTCCTAATTGGATTCAAAGACATGAACTGGAATTTAGGGAGTACCAGAGAGTAACGGGATTAGGAAACAAATCTTAACTTTTCAACCTTTAGACTTTAATCCATCAATTAGACTTGCTTTAGATTCAACATCAAAAATATTTCAGATTAATGAGAGGCTTATTTAAAGCTTAGAGACTCTATAGTGAATCCATTCAGTCTGGGTCAGGGCAGCTTGTTCAGGTTTGCTCAGCCTCTTATATTCCTTCTGTGATTAAAATGTTAGAGGCATTCTGGAAGATTCTGAAATTGCACACAGCATGCTTACATCATTCCCCCGCGCCGCATTAGCTGGGTGCCACGGCAACCAGCGCTCCAGCTCAGTTTTAGACAGCATCCTCCTCTATGAATTTTTTAGCCTCTCTGTTTCTCTAACTGACCGTTTTATCAATTCAGCGAAACCGTCAGAAGGGTCAATAACTTTAAGAAATACACTGTGGTCAGGAAAACTTCATTATTATGTCAAATAATGAGTTCTTACCCAGTACTTTAGATCTACAATAACATCAGACAATATAATTAGAGACCTAAATCAACAAATTTAGTTCTGGGAGAAGCTTTTATTTGCCATTGTTCTGCAAAATAGCTGCACAATAGTCTTTAACCACTGATGAACAAACGTCTAAAGGGTTAATATCATTAGAAAATGATGCCATCCAATAGAAAAGCTCTCTGAGCCATAAATTCATATGTTTTCCTAAGAGCTTGCTATCTCCGTGTTAAGATCCAGTTAAAGTCGTTTTCCCCAATCAAAGCTAATGAAATGCTGTCTCAGACTTAGCATGTGGCTCTGGTGTTAGTTAACGCTAATGCGGCTCCCCTCCTCTTCAAACTGACTGGCGGACCGAAGCTTGACCACTGCTTAACGGAATGGACTTCCAGCCTGTGTTTTCATGTCAATCAAGGGATTGCACTCTATGGGGTGGGGTCATGTGATAATCTGAATCATGCCAATCCAAATGTATTGGGATTATCCAATAGAAAACATTTGTTTTTGGAAGGGGTGGGGAAAGGTAAGGGGTTGACATTTGCACTGGACATGAAAATACTCAAAGCACACAACATCTGATGACAAGATCACAAGCTTGGATGAGAAAAAAACTGCACCTTGAGAAACAAAAAAACATGCATGAGGAAGGAATGAAGGCACATCAAATGTACCCACAGCTGACTGTGAGATTATACGGTGAAGCCAGAGACGCTGTCTTCACGCCTGGCTGCTAATTAGAAAATTAATTCAGTGAATCAAATCAATCTCTAAATCCACGGGCTTGTAGGTACTTTTGAATGATCTGAAACTGCATGAGACTGAGAATAACTGCAAAAGCAAAATGGACGAGATGGTGTGCTTCAGTCAAGCCTAATCTTGTGCGTGTATGTGTGTGTGTGTGTGTTTGCTTTCTTGTTTCTGGTTGTGTGGCTGCATGGATGCCTATGTAGAAGCTGCCTGTTGATGCGGTTCTCAGTTCTTCAGAAGGGAGCACAGTGGATATCCGACCCCCTGGAGAGGGGGTGGAGTCCGTGGAGCTGGAGCCGGAAGAGTCCCTGGACCCAGAGGCCTGCTTCACAGAAGGTGTGTGTGTGTGTGTACCTTGTATTCCCTATGTTATGGGGACCAAAATGTCCCCACAAGGATAGTAATAGTAGGACATTTGTGGCCCCCATGAGGAAAACAGCTTATACATCATTCAGAATTAAATTTTTTGAAAATCTAAAAATGCAAAAAGTTCTATCTATGGAGTGTACCCATAAAACATGGAAACCAGTGTGTGTGTGTGTGTGTGTGTGTGTGTGTGTGTGTGCGTGTGCATTTGTTTACAAATAGGAAATCAAAATGAAACACAGAGACCAGTGTGTGTGTGTGTGTGTGTGTGTGTGTGTGTGTGCGTGTGCATTTGTTTACAAATAGGAAATCAAAATGAATCTTAGTTACCTTATTAACACGCTTTCCTGGTTTTATTCACCAGTGTATGTTATTTCAAACATGAGAGCTTGCTCTGCCTTTGAGATTATTTTCCTCCAGCTGACAATGGGCCAGATACTAGTTAATGTTCTGTCAGGACCACTATCGTCAAAGATGATTGACAATTAGCATACAGTTTGGATTGGCGGTATGGTTCTGTTCTGGGCAAGAACTCCCTGCGCCTCCATGCAGCCTAGCATGGATGAGAGCAGGGAGAGCAGCAATAACCCCCAGGGTAAACAGAACAGAACTACATAAATTTATTGCAGATATTGTTAAAATTCAATCATTTTATGTACACATTTTAGAATTAGTCTGATTCAAGGAGAATCAGAAGGCTGAATCCCGACTGACAGAGGAGGAGTTGGGGATGGAGAAGGGTAATTAGCTATTGAGCAATGCGAAAACTGCTGATAATACTGAGGGACCTTATATATGAATGCTTAGATAAGTGTCGTATTCCCATAGGTAGATGGGGATCAGCTGAAGGTCAGCTGATGCGAGCTTGACTAACGTGACCTGCCAGAACTAACGCTACGCTTGATTTAAACTACAACCAGTATTGGTTAATGTTAATCATTAGCCTAAAAGCTATTTAGGCTTTATTGTAGGATATTGTTGTAGGTAATACAGCCTTTCTAAATTATTGCCCATAGCTAATGCACTAATTTCATGCCAATTAATGTTAATTAGAGAAAACAGCAATTATAGCAGTAGATTTGAGCATTACTGTTGTCATATGTCATGATGGTCTCGTGGGTGAATTGAGGTCAAGAGGGCACTAATGCTTCACAATAAACTGTAAACTTCTTGACTCCATTGTGGTTATGGAATAGCCGTTTATTAGGATCAATTTCTAATTAGTCCCAGCTTAATTTTTTCTCTTTGAATATCCTTTTCACCCTCAAATACAATGTTACAGAAGCTAAATGAGTTGTGAATACTGCTTTGAACTTTAAGGGGAGCACAGCTTGGGAAACCAGATTTATTTGATGTTCTTCTAAAAAGGATTTAAATGTACTGCAGTATGTAAGGACTAATTTACTCACCCAAGCTCCCTCTCTAGTCCATTTATTGTAACTATGTGCAAAACTGGCTCATTTAGAAATAGCCATAAATATGAATACATTAACATACACTACTGTTCAAAAATTTGGGGTCAGTGAGATTTTTTTGAAAGAAGTTGATACTTTTATCCACCAAAGATGCATTAAATTGATCAAAAGTGACCGTAAAGATGGTTAAATTGTAACAAAAAAATATCTGTTTCAAATAAATGCTGTTCTTTCGAACTTTCTATTTATCAAAGAATCCAGAAAAAAATACATAATGGTTTTCACAAATATATTATGCAGCATGACTGACATTCTGGCGGATCATGTGACACTCATGAGACTGGAGTAATGATGCTGAAAATTAATTTAAAATACATTAAAAATATATTAAAATATAAAACATTACTTACCATATATTAAATTGGAAAAAATTGGGGAAAAAAAATAAATAAATACAAAAATTAATTCTATATTAAAAATAGAAAACAATATTTTAAATTGTTTGGTGAGCATTTTGGTGAGCATAAGAAGCATTAAAAAAATTACTGACCTCAAACTTTTTAACAATAACATATCACCACCAACTTCACATATCACTTTTTTAGTATACAACAATTTCAAGGTCTTAAAGAGTACATACAGAACAGTAACAAAACAGCCTGTTTAAGGGTTAGAGAGAAGGTTGAAGATATGGATCTGAATGAAAGCATAAAAAATAGCTACAAAAATGTACAGTTTGGCCCATTTATGTCATATATAGTTCCCAAGCAAGACTTCTAGTATTGACTTTGTGGGACGTTTTGTGAGAGTTGACTTTTTTCACTGAGCTCAATTGTTCTGCTGTCAACTTACATTAAGTGACTTTTCTCTGTGTCTTTTGCTCAGGCTGTGTGATGAGGTTTCAGTGCTGTCAGGTCGATGTGGAGACGGGAAGAGGGAAGAGTTGGTGGATTCTCAGGAAAACCTGCTTCATTATTGTTGAGCACAACTGGTTTGAGTCCTTTATCATCTTTATGATATTACTCAGCAGTGGAGCACTGGTGAGCACCCACACATAAACACAATATTCTCACCCACTCAATCATTTTTTATTTGACAAACATTCAACAAGTAAATTTGTTGATGTGTATGTGTGTTCAGGCTTTTGAGGACATTTACATCGAGCAACGTAAAACAATAAAGACAGTGTTGGAATATGCAGATAAAGTCTTCACATACATCTTTATATTGGAGATGCTTCTGAAGTGGGTTGCGTATGGCTTCGTCAAATACTTCACCAACGCCTGGTGTTGGCTTGACTTCCTGATTGTTGATGTATGTATAGACCTTATATACTGCTTTGCAACTGTACAGTGTGTGTGTAAGTGGATAGTGTGTATTCTCTGGGTTTGAACACAAGTTCCCTTCATGATTGGCTACATGTGTTTGTTTTACAGGTGTCATTGGTGAGTCTGGTAGCAAATGCTCTTGGTTACTCTGAACTAACTGCCATTAAGTCCCTGAGAACACTGCGTGCTCTTAGACCTTTGAGAGCATTGTCACGCTTTGAGGGAATGAGGGTAAGACACACGCAAACACACATCATGTGGTGTGATTTAACCAAGCAGGACATGTTCCTGGATGCCTAACCTTATTTCTATTCCAAACCGTTACAGAGCAACGATTGGCTGGTAAGATTAGTGATGTAACAGTTCACATTACAGTTATGCTTCAGTGGTTACAATTCCGTGTAATTCGTACAAAATGAAAAATTTGCTAAATATTTACTTATTTTCAGGCCATCCAAGATGCACATGAGTTTGCTTCTTCATTGGAACAGATTTGGAGAAATTTAGCATCCTAAGATCCATCCATCTAGGATCCTCTGCAGTGAATGGGTGCCGTCATGTTAATTGATGGACTGGAGTCGTGTGGATCATTGTGATGTTTTTATCAGCTGTTTGGACTCTCATTCTGACGGCACCCATTCACTGCAGAGGATCCATTGGTGAGCAAGTGATGTAATGCTACATTTCTCCATATCTGTTCAGATGAAAAACAAACTCATCTACATCTTGGATGGCTAAAGGTAAGTAGATTTTCAGCTAATTTAAATTTTGGGTGAACTATTTCTCTAACATCAGACCTAACCTTAAAATCTGATCAGTTCATCCCAGTGCTGACCAATGAAGTTGATCCTGGAACATGTCCTACTTGAGAAAAACAGCATACTCTCACACTGTTAAATTTTTTGAGCTGTAGTCCTCTTGCTTGCTGGTGGTGATTATTAATGAGAACATCCTAATCACATGAATAAATGAATATTGAATGTAGACTAGTATTTTTAGACCTTTCTCTTTAGTGTGCATGGCTCTCTGCATGTGCTGTGGTGAGAGCTCTCTGATCTATTCTAATGATTCTGTGGTGGTTTTGTGGTGTTTGTGACTTGACCTCACATTTCTTTCTCTGTTATGTGTCTCTTTTCATTTGCAGTAAACAATTGTTGTGACGTCATCGTGTCTCCACAAGGTTTTTTTCTGTTTTCATTTTTTTCCCCCACATTTTGGTAGCTCAAAGATATGTGTGATACGCCCCTGTTTATATGTTAAAGTCCTATGTTCTATGAACAAAATTGCAGTTGGTTAATAATTAGAGAAATTTAGCTATTAATTATAGAGCAAATAAGGCAGATGACATATTAGCCATTCTTCAAATAGGCCTACTCCGTTTTTTAGCTAATCAGTCTTATTGTAGGATAAAATTGACTTGGCTTTGCTATTCTTAAAACCCTGTTAACTTTCTAAAAGTCATCTTGTCATTTCCCAGAATTGTATTATCTTAAATCTATGGAAAGCATTTCGTTTTTAACAGCAAGTAAGCCATCCACTATAGAAGCTCAGGAAGTTCATTGCAGTTTCGCAGCTCTTGTATCCATAACAAGAGTGTGAAGTGAATATATATGGAGGTATTTGTGTGTGACGATGTATTTCTTTTCTTCTAGGTTGTAGTGAATGCCCTGCTGGGAGCCATACCTTCCATCATGAATGTGCTGCTTGTGTGTTTGATCTTCTGGCTGATCTTCAGCATCATGGGGGTGAACCTTTTCGCAGGGAAATACTACCATTGTGTTAATATCACCAGCAATGAGATGTTTCTCATCAGTGTGGTCAATAACAAGTCAGATTGCTTTGCCCTGATTGCAAACAATGACACAGCGCGCTGGAAAAACGTGAAGATTAATTTCGATAATGTGGGAGCCGGATACCTGGCGCTACTGCAAGTGGTAAGTATGCTGAACACATAGCCCGACCGTGATTTATTTTTTGTTTAGTATGAGGTTTTCTATTTGTAGCATATTCACAATATATATTGATTTTGTTCTTTTCCACAAGGCCACATTTAAAGGATGGATGGACATCATGTACGCAGCTGTGGATTCTCGTGATGTAAGTGTTTCTCTTTAATGCAGTAAACAGACCTTTTTTAACCATTCAGAGTGCAATGTTCCATTCAAACCATCTTTGACCCTTTTCCATAATTCCATGTTACTGTCCGCTTAATGTGCTATTTTTTTAAATTTATGACTACACAAATTAAAAATGTCATTTGAGGTAAAGCACCATGAACTACTAGAATATTTACTTTTATTTGAGGAGATCCAGAAATGTTAAAATATTTAAACTAAGGAATACTTTTATTTAGGCATTATTAATGTAATGTTGTGGTTTACTCCAACTGAAGATACACCATACAAAGGGTATATTTGTTCATTGGGCATTTCAATGTTTATTCAGCTTTACTGCCACTATTTACAAAACTGTTTAAAAAAAGAATACGTTCACATTTTAATTATTTAATAAATATATTAATTATCTAATTATATTAACCAATACTGTGCATAATTAAATGAATTAATGAACATTATATTTTAAATAATTTACTAATAATTATAATTATAGATACACAATAAGGCAAATTATTGTATTCTTGTTTTGGAGTAAACAATTTAATAATTAATAAAAAATAACAGTTGTGATTTAATGATTGAATTTAAATGTAATATACATAATTGAATAATAACTGATTTAAATTAATCAAATGTCTAAAGAATATTTTTGCATTGAAAATCTCACATATCCTCTGGTACTGTTGCGTATATGGACAGTGCAATACATGGACAATCGTGAACAGTTTTTTTTATACTGGAGCAGGAGTGTGCTTATGAAGATTAAGTTGTGATGCACATTAGTAATGCAAATGTGTAATAACACAAAACATTTTCTTGAATTCGCAGTTGGAGCAACAGCCTGACTATGAATCAAACCTTTACATGTACCTGTACTTCGTCATCTTCATTATCTTCGGCTCCTTCTTTACCCTTAACCTCTTCATTGGTGTCATCATTGATAACTTCAATCAGCAGAAGAAAAAGATAAGTATTTAAACTGAGGAAGGTGAATTTAAACACCTTAATAAAATGTAAGACATAATTCACAACTGATAAGGAATATTGTACATATTACAATGTGCAATCTCAAATCAACCACTGTGTGTTTGTTCAGTTTACTTTCAATGTAATGTGATATGTACACCGTCTGTGGCTTTGTTTAGTGAGCACACAATGGTAATGTATTGAACTGGTTTTGATTATAAAGCACACACAGTGGTAGATAAATGAACTGCCTCTTTGACATTTCCTGAAGTTCAGAGTTGAAAAACAGAGGCCTGCTTGCATTATGTTTGCGTTGTGACATATAATGAAACAGTGGTTGTAACCAGCCTTCTGCATTTGCTCTTTACCTAGGAGGTCAGGATATCTTCATGACAGAAGAACAGAAGAAATATTACAACGCCATGAAGAAACTGGGATCTAAGAAGCCTCAGAAGCCAATTCCCAGGCCTGCGGTATGACACACAGCTCACTCCCCCTAACCACTAAGAACTTTAATTATATTTAAAGGGAACATAACACACACAGTTTCGGCCAATCTCATGTTAATCTTGAGTACCTATAGAGTAGTATTGCATCCTTCATTTTGCTGAAGAATCTTTAGTTTTATCAGATTTATAAAAGAAAGATACAGCTTTATGCTTCTCTCCGGAAAAAAAAACGAGCTTCTGGAGGCGTGCCGTGGATGAGCTAAAGAGTCGCGAGCACTTACCAACAAAACACAGAAATTTGATGCAGTTTTACTTACCACCTGCAGTTCTGACCCATGACGGGGATCTTTTATAGCTGGGACCACCCCATCTTTCAGTATCAAACGATCTGTAAATCCAGCGTTGAACTGTGCCTTGTTTATAAAACATTCGTCACCGAAATGATGGGAACAAACAAACACACTTGCGAAACTCCGTTGCTGTCCCTGAAAAACAAACTGCATCCACTGTTCACGTAACGCTGGGTTCTTTGGGAAGCTAATCAAGGTTATCTTTTCTTCACATCCAAAAACACACTTCTTTGGAGACATTCTTCTCGAGCAAGTCCTGTGCAGCGCTCCCGATGGCTTCTGTAACTCAAATGAAGCACATTGATGGGCTGCTCTGGTTCTCACTCTGGTTGCTGTGTGCACGCGCTCTTCTGGGAGAAGTGCCCATACAAGGAATTCCGCCCTTCGTGATGGAGAAGTGCCCATACAAGGAATTCCGCCCTTCGTGACGTCATGAAGGGCCATTCTCGAAAAAAACTTTATGAAACTTATGTGAACCTGGAAGGAGTGTATTTGGCACAGAAATACAGAAAACTCTGTCATACCTCCAACTTGTTTTTTGAAAATTTGTCCATGTTTAGCATGAGAATCCAACTCTTTAACAATGTAAATAACTCAGAATGCATGAAATAGCTTTAGACCTAAAGCTATTTCAAAGCCCCCCCCCTTTAATACAACATTTTTCAATAATGCCAATTTCTCTGTACTTCACTCTAGAACAAGTTTCAAGGCCTCATCTTTGACGTAATCACCAAACAAGCCTTCGACATTGTGATTATGATCCTGATCTGCTTGAACATGGTGACCATGATGGTGGAAACCGACGATCAGACAAAGGAGATGGACGATATTCTGTACTGGATAAACCTGGTTTTCATCATCCTCTTCACTGGAGAGTGTGTTCTCAAGATGATCTCCCTACGACACTACTACTTCACCATTGGCTGGAATGTGTTTGACTTCGTAGTGGTGATTCTGTCAATTGTTGGTAAGAAATTCTTGGAAGTTCTACAGACTATTACTATTATAACACTATAATAACATTTTGAAGATTTAGGCCAGAAACATACTTTATAAACACTCCGTACATGTTGTTCCTTCTTAACAGAAAAGGTGCAGTCATATTTACTGTTGTTCTGTGAATTTTCACTGACAAAATCCAGTAATTTCTGTTGGAATCTGTGCAATCTGGAATTTCACTTGAGAGTGAAAGATTTCCTCATACAGATTTCTCAATGGATTAAAATTGGTAACAATGATTACCAACGCTGTGCTGACCAACAGAAAGCTGCATGGTTTGAAAGTGGCTTCTGTGTGAGCTGTGCTTCATACATTGCTACAGTGACAATTGACAATGGACCTTTTTTGCACACAAAATTTCGACAAAATTTCACCTGTGACCACACCTTAAAGGATTAGTTCACATCCAGAATAAAAATTTCCTGATACTGTAATTTACTCACCCCCCATGTCATTCAAAATTTCAATGTCCTTCTTTCTAATTCGAAAAGAAATTAAGGTTTTTGAGGAAAACATTCCAGGATTTTTCTCCATATAGTGGACTTCAATGGGACCCAACGGGTTGAAGGTCCAAACTGCAGTTTCAATGTAGCCGAGGAATAAGGGTCTTATCTAGCGAAACAATCAGACATTTTCTAAAAAAAATACAAATGTATATACTTTTTAACCACAAATGCTTGTCTTGCACTAGCTCTGCGATGCATGTCCACGACTTTTACACATTTACGTAATCACGTTGGAAAGGTCACGTGCGGTTAGCTCTTCGTCTGTGTACTCCGGTTCAGAAAGGTAGGGTAGGGTGAAAAACTCCATCTCATTTTCTCCTCCAACTTCAAAACATTGTTGTTTTACCTTTTTTTGTAAAGGGCGTTTGACTTTCTTTGCACATTCGCTTTGTAAACACTGGGTCGGTACTTCCACCTACGCGTGACCTTTCCAGTGTGACTATGTAATGCGTGAAGTTGAGCTAGTGCAAGACGAGTATTTGTGTTTAAAAAGTATATACGTTTTTATTCTTTTTAGAAAGTGACCAATCGTTACACTAGATAAGACCCTTATTCGTCGGCTGGGATCGTGTAGAACCCTTTGAAGCTGCATTGAAACTGCCGTTGGCCACCACTGAAGTCCACTATATGGAGAAAATCCTGGAATGGTTTCCTCAAAAACCTTAATTTTTTTTCGACTGAAGAAAGAAAGACATGAACATCTTGGATGACATTGGGGTGAGTAAATTATCAGGAAATTTTTATTCTGGAAGTGAACTAATCCTTTAATTGATCTGAAAGACAAAAGTGGCCAAAGAAGACAGTTTAGGCTAATGTAATACTGGGAATGCTATACTATATTTGAGTAGAGTATGCTTTGAGCATAATTCACCTTTAAACTTAAATATTGTGGAAAATTCAGGGATTACTGGGATCACTTATTGGACTTGTGTTTTGTTTTTTTGTCAGGCATGTTCCTCTCTGAGATGATCGAGAAATATTTTGTATCGCCAACCTTATTCCGAGTCATCCGACTTGCCAGAATCGGTCGCATTCTTCGTCTCATCAAAGGAGCCAAAGGCATTCGTACACTCCTGTTTGCCTTGATGATGTCACTTCCTGCCTTGTTCAATATTGGCCTCCTCCTGTTCCTGGTGATGTTTATCTATGCCATTTTTGCAATGTCCAACTTTGCCTATGTGAAGCATGAGGCGGGGATTGATGATTTGTTTAACTTTGAGACATTCGGGAACTCGATGCTTTGCTTGTTCCAGATTACCACTTCTGCAGGATGGGATGGCCTCCTGGCACCCATCCTGAACAAGCAAGATCCAGATTGCGACAGTCAATTGGAGCACCCGGGCAGCATGTACCGTGGCGACTGCGGAAACCCCTCGGTCGGCATCTTCTTCTTCGTGAGCTACATCATCATCTGCTTCCTGATTGTGGTGAACATGTACATCGCTGTGATCTTGGAGAACTTCAGCGTAGCCACAGAAGAGAGCGCTGAACCGCTGAGCGAGGATGACTTTGAAATGTTCTATGAAGTCTGGGAGCGATTCGACCCCAACGCCACGCAGTTCGTGGAGTACAACAAGCTTTCTGACTTTGCGGACGCTCTGGATCCTCCGTTACGCATCCCCAAGCCAAACAAGATCCAGCTCATAGCCATGGACCTGCCCATGGTCAGTGGCGACCGCATCCACTGCCTGGACATCCTGTTCGCCTTTACCCTGAGGGTACTGGGAGAGGAGGGTGAGATGGATGCCCTGAGGGGACAGATGGAAGATCGTTTCATGGCCTCCAATCCCTCTAAAGTCTCGTACGAGCCCATCACGACAACCCTCCGCAGGAAACAGGAGGAGATGTCATCTGTGATCATCCAGAGGGCCTTCCGACGGTACCGTTTAAGGCAAATGGTAAAGAAGGCCTCTGAAGCCTACCGACAACAGCTACAGGATGGGGGTGTGCGTATCCTGGAGAAAGAGGTGCTTGTCATTGGAAAGTTTCAAGAGAACTCTGCATCGGACAAAACGGATATGACTCCCTCCTCTGCCTCTCCGCCGTCTTATAACAGCGTGGCCAAGTCAGAGAAAGACAAATATGAAAAAGAGAGGAGAGAGAAGGAGGACAAAGCAAAAGATGCAAGAGACAGAAAAAAATGAACGAGGGACTGAAACAGAGACTGTTCTTTTCAACTGAGACACTGTTTACAGAGCAGAGCGCGAGCACTGGGGTGCAATTCACCTCAAGCGGTTTTGGAACTAATGCCAAACTGAGTGTGTGTGAGGCGGAGTGTGTGTATGTGCGTGTGTCTAGACTATTGTGTGCGTGCGCACCGAGCTAGCCTTAGGGTGCATTTATGGTGTTGACGGAAAGCGTTGATTCGAGGACAGTGCCAGTGTCGACACGACAAACACACACACGCTTGTGTATGACTGTTGAATCCCTAAGGACGCTGGTGTGAAACAAAATGGCAAGTATAGAGTGGTGTGTGAGTTTGTCTTTTAGTTTTGAGTGTTGTTACACAATCCCGAGGACTGAAAGAAACTGTTATAGTCATCAGTAGCTAGTGCTAACACTACCGCTGGTGTCTTTCTTACTGAATGGCGTATTATATACCTGCACATTTTTGTTAGCTCATTTTTTTAATCATGTTGAACTTTTCTACTCATGAGTTTGATTGTCTGAACTACATTTAAGGGCACGTCTGTGGAAGGGGCTGGGGAATGTCGATCATATCCGGTAGTGAATTATCTGAACGGGACCTCATTTACTTTAGTGTTAGCAAATACCGAAAAA